TGAAGTAAAATCTTCTTCTTTTTTGGAGGTTTTGATATAATTTTATTAATAGAAGTGAAGTCAAGTGAGATATGTTCTCCCACATCGATTAGCGAGTAGTAAAATAGAAAAAAAAAAAATTCTCCTTTTTGGCGGTTTTTATATATTTCTATTAATAGCAGTGAAGTTAAATGAGATATATTCTTTCACAGCGATTAGAGAGTAGGAAAAATAAAAAAAAAATAAAGTAAAATATTCTTCTTTTTTGGCGGTTTAGATATAAATTTTTAATAGCAGTGAAGTTAAGTAAAATACATTCATTCACATCGGTTAGCGAGTAGGAAAACTAGAATAAAAATGATGTAAAATCTTCGTTTTGTTTGACGATTTTGATATATTTTTATTAATAGCAGTGAAGTTAATAAAAATACATTCTCCCATATCAGTTAGAGAGTAGGAAAAAATAGAACAAAAATAAAGTAAAATCTTCTTCTATTTTGGCGGTTTGATATATTTTATTAATAGCTATGTAATCATTCTCCCACCGGTTAGAGAGTAGGAAAAATAGAACAAAAATGAATTAAAATCTTCTTCTTTTCTGGCGCTTTTGATATTATTTTATTAACAGCATCGAAATCAAGTGAGATACATTCTTCTGCATCAGTTAGAGAGTAGGAAAAATAGAACAAAAATGAAGTAAAATCTTCTTCTTTTGTGGTAGTTTTGATGTATTTTTATTAATAGCATTGAAGTTAAGTGAAATACATTCTTTCACATCAGTTAGAGAAGAAAAAATAGAACAAAAATGAAGCAAAATCTTCTTTCATTTTGGTGGTTTTGATATATTTATTGATAGTGGTGAAGTTAAGTGAGAAACATTCTCCCACATCGGTTAGAAAGTAAAAAGTAATTTTTTTTGGCGAATTTGATATATTTTTATTAATAGCCTTGAAATTAAGTGAGATACATTCTCCCACATCGGTTAGAGAGTAGGGAAAGCAGAACAAAAATAAAGTAAAATCTTCTTCTTCTTTTTGCGTTTTTGATATAGTTTTTTTAATAGCATTGGATTAAGTGAGATAGATTCTCCACATCGATTAGAGAGTAGGAAAAATAGATAAAAATGAAGTAAATTTTTTTGATTTTTGGCGGTTTTGTTATACTTTTATTAATAGAAGTGAAGTTAAGTGAGATACATTCTTCCACATCGGTTAGAGTGTAGGAAAATAGAACAAATATGAAGTAAAATCCTCTTACTTTTGGCGGTTTTGATATATTTTATTAATAGCAGTGAAGTCAAGTGAGATAAATTCTCCCACATCGGTTAGAAAGTAGGAAAAATAGAACAAAAATGAAGTAAAATCTTCTTCTTTTTTGATTATTTTGATATATATTTTTTAATAACAATGACGTTAAGTTAGATACATTCTTCCACATCGATTAGAGAGCAAGAAAAATAGAACAAAAATGAAGGAAAGTCTTCTTCTTTTTTGTCACTTTGGATATATTTTTATTGACAGCAGTAAAATTAAGTGAAATATTTTCTCCCACTTGTGTTAGAGAGTAGGAAAATAGAACAAAAATGTAAGAAAATAGTTTGTTACATAGAGTCCTATTAGCAAATAATGTCAAGTTATTTCAATTTTTTCATAGTCTTTAGGGAAGTTGTTTTTCATGGCTTTACTTTTTATTTTTAGTAGTTACGGTCAAAGGAATATTGATCAATTTTCAAGTCCCCAATCGTAGCTCCGGATGAAGGCGAAGCGTTAACTAATGCTCAAAGGCAGAGTTCGAAGCAAGAAAGTTGAAAGATTTGAAGGCAAAGAATTATCTCTTTCAGGCTAGCGATCGTCCCACCGTAGAAACTATTCTTTGCAAAGAAACTTCTAAGGATATTTGGGATTCAAGGGAAAAAAAAGTATCAAGGTACTACTAGAGTGAAGTGTGAAGATGCACATCTTCAAGCCTTGATAAGAGATTTCGAGACGTTGCAGAAGAAGGAAGGAGAGTCTGTAATGAGTTACTACGCTAGAAGAATGGAGATTAGCAACAAAATGCGATTTCATGGTGAAAAAATGACTGATGTCACAATTGTGGAAAAGATATTGTGTTCCCTGATGCCGAAGTATGATTATGTCGTTTTCTCCATTGAGAAGTCCAAATATATAGACGAGTTATCACTTGACGAGTTGCAAAGTTCCTTATTGGTACATGAGCAAAAAATAAACCGAAGTTCATCTTCCAAAGAGAAGGATTTGAAGGCTTCTACTAATACTCGTTTCTCAAATTTTAGAGTAAGGGGTAGAGGTAGAGAAAGAAGAAGAGGAGATTGGGGACATAGAGATGAAGGCAGTAAAGACGACAATAGGAATTCAAGAGCCAATGATGACCATGGTAAAGGAAGAGGGAGAAATTTTGACAAATCAAAAGTAGAATGCTATCGATGTTATAATTTTGGTCATTATAAGTCTGAATGTTATACTAGGTTGCCTAATGAGAAGGACGAAAAGTCAAATTTTGTGGAAAGCAAGGAAACTGAGACCTTGTTGATGGCAACACAAGCACATGAATAACCTTTGCAAGTTGTTTGGTATCTGGAAACAGGTTGCAGTAATCACATGAGTGGGAGTAAGTCTTGCTTTTCTTATTTAAATAAAGGCTTTCATTCTAAAGTTAGTTTTGGTGATTGATCTGTTGTTGATGCAATGGGAAAAGGTGATACTAAAATTAAATCCAAGAATGATTTTGAAGAAATAATATCAAATGTGTTATATGTTCCTGCTCTAAAAAGCAATTTATTGAGTATCAGACAATTGCAAGAGAAAGGGTATTTTATTCTCATTGGAAAAGGTGTTTGTGAGATTTCTAGTCCTACTAGAGGAGCTATTGTTGTTGTGAAAATGAATTCAAAAAGGTTATTTCCCTTGAACATTGATAGTAATAAATCATGTCTGAAGGCGGAAGTGAAGGATTCTTCCTGGTTGTGGCATTTTAGATACGGTCACTTGAGTTTTGGTGGATTGAAAACTCTCCAACAGAAAAATATGGTGATAGGCATTTCAGAAATTCTCATCCCCTCCCAAGTTTGCGGAAAATGTGTTGTTGGCAAACAACATCGTTCTCAATTTCAAAAAGGAAAGTCGTGGAGAGCAAAAGCTATTTTGGAACTGGTGCATTCAGATATTTGTCGCCCTATTAAACCAATTTCTAATGGAGGTAAAAGGTATTTCATTACCTTTACAGATGATTTCTCTAAGAAAACCTTGGTATATTTTTTCCAGGAAAATCAGAAGCTTTTGGAGTGTTTAAAACCTTCAAAGCTCATGTAGAAAATGAAACTGGAAAGACCATAAAAACTCTTCGAACTGATCGTGATGGCGAGTATTGCTCAAAAGTCTTTAAAGATTTTTGTGAATTCAACGGAATTCGAAGAGAGCTCACCACTGCTTATACACCACAACAAAATGGTGAATCGAAGAGAGAGAATAGAACCATTCTTAATGTGGTGCGGAGTTTGCTAGCAAGAGGAAGGATGGAAAAGACATTTTGGCCGGAAGCAATAAATTGGAGCATTCATGTATTGAATAGAATCCCAACATATGTTGTTCAAAACATGACTCCACAATAAGCTTTGGAGTGGAAGAAAGCCATCTGTGATCACTTTGGAATTTTTGGTTGAATTGCCTATGCAGTGTCACAGACGAGAAAAGAAAGAAACTTGATGACAAAAGTGAAAAGCTTATCTTTGTGGGTGTTAGTGAAGCATCTAATGCATATAAATTATTTAATCCACGGACAAAGAAAATCGTAATGAGTAGAGACGTCATTTTTGGTGAAAAAAAGCACTTGGGACTGGAATATGTAGCAATCTACTCCATTTGTATTTGATATTGAAGAAGCAGTTGCAATGCCCGAAACTACGGAGAACTCAACAACTGCAGCAGCTGAAAGTCCAACAACTGCTGCTGAAATTTCACCAACTGCTGAAACTTTACCAGCAACTGATGCAGCAACTCAGTCTGTTCGTCGTGCTCGCAGAAAGCCCGCTCGGATGGGGGACTATAAGGTAACAGGAATTATTGTAAATAATAATGCAATTACTCATTTTGCATTATTTACAGATTGTGACCCGATAACTTTTGAGTGCGTTGTTAGAGAAGAAAAATGGAGAAGGGCTATGGATGTGGAAACTGAAGCCATTGAAAGGAATGATACTTGAAATCTTGTTGATCTTCCTGAGAAGCAAAAAACCATTGGTGTCAAATGGGTATATACGACGAAGCTGAAAGAAAATGGTGAAATTGATAAGTATAAGGCGCAATTGATGACTAAGGGATACAAGCAGGAGTATGGTGTTGATTATACTGAAGTTTTTACTCCAGTTGCAAGGCATGACATATCAGAATGCTAATAGCCTTGGAGGCACAAAATGTGTGGTCTATCTTCTAGTTGGATGTCAAATTGGCTTTTTAACATGGATACTTAGAGGAAGAGGTATTTATCGAACAACCCCCCGGTTATCTTAAGATTGACAATGAACAGAAGGTTTATCAATTAAAGAAAGCTCATTATGGACTAAAACGAGCCCCACGGGCTTGGTATATCCGTATCGAGGCTTATTTTCAGAAAATGGATTTTAAAAAGTGTCCATATGAGCATACACTTTTTGTTAAAACTGGGGAGAATGGAAAAATGCTCATTTTGTGCTTATATGTTGATGATCTTATTTTCACAGAGAATAGTAGTGTGATGTTTGATGAATTCAAGAAGTGTGTGATAATTGAATTAAAGATGATCGATCTTGGTAAGATGCATTATTTTCTTGGTTTAGAAGTGGTGCAATCTGATGAAGGGATATTTGTTTCTCAAAAGAAGTATGTGCGAGAAATTTTAAATAGGTTTGAGATGCAGAATTGCAATCCAGCCAACATTCTAGTTGAGTTAGGTTTGAAACTTAACAAAGCTTGGAGTGGAAAGAAGGTGGATAACATGGTTTACAAGCAAATTATTGGTAGTTTAATGTATCTATCTACTAAAAGATCAGACATCATGTATGTTATTAGTCTTATCAACAGATATATGGAGTACCCGACTGAAATGCATCTCCTAGCTGCAAAGAGAATTCTGCGGTACTGACAAGGAACTAAGGATTTTGGAATTTTCTACATAAAAGGAGAAAAGTCAGATTTGGTTGGCTTTACTGGCAGTGATTATGCAGGAGTTCAAGATGATAGAAAGAGTACTTCGGATTATGTGTTTATGCTAGGTGCAGGGGTTGTGTCGTGGTCCTCTAAAAGATAAACAATTTTCACATTATCAAGTACAGAATCTGAATTTATTGCTGCTACATCTTGTGCTTGTCAAGCTATTTGGCTTAGGAGACTCCTTGAAAGTTCAAGACAGAAGAGCCACTATGATATTTTGCGACAACAATTCAGTCATCAAGTTGTCAAAGAATCATGTGAACCATGGAAGAAGCAAACACATTGATGTGAAGTTTTAGTTCTTGCGAGATCTCAATAATGAAGGAACAATAGAGTTGCGAGACTACCGAAGCGAAGATCAGTTGGCTAACATTTTTACGATACCTATCAAAATTCTCCCTTTTCAAAATCTGAGGAGGTTGATGGGTATCAGCACTATGGAAGATTTCAAGAAGCTGAAATTAAACTAACGCTTGCATGCTTTCAGTTTAAGGGAGGATGTTAGAAAATAGTTTGTTACATAGAGTCCTGTTAGCAAATAATGTCAAGTTATTTCAGCTTTGTCCTAGTCTTTAGGGAAGTAGTTTATCATGACTTTACTTCTTATTTTAGGAATTAGTGGTTCCACTATTTTTAGCTTAAAACGTTGTGTAATTTTCATATAAAATATGCCATTGCAGAGCACCAAGAAAATGCAGTAAAGTAGTTCCTTTTATTCTCAACGTTTCAACTTGTTTCTCTGTTTCTGTTTACTGTTGTTTCCCTATCTTGTTTCTGTTTACAAAAAATGACATAAAATCTTCTTATGTTTTGACGGTTTTGATATATTTTTATTAATAACAGTGAAGTTAAATGATATACATTTTTCCACATCGGTTAAAAAGTAGGAAAAATAGAACAAAAGTGAAGTAGTCTTCTTTTTTTTGCAGTTTTGATATATTTTTATTAATAACAGTGAAGTTATTCCACATCGGTTAGAGAGTAGAAAATAGAACAAAAATGAAGTAAAATCTTCTTCTTTTTGGCGGTTTTGATATATTTTTATCAATAGCGGTGAAGTTAAGTGAGATACACTATCCCACATCGGTTAGAAAGTAGGAAAAATAAAACAAAAATGAAGTAAAATATTCTTCATTTTTGGCGGTTTTGATATATTTTTAATAATTGTAGTAAAGTTAAGAGAAATACATTCTCCCATATCGGTAAGAGAGTAGGAAAAAATAGAACAAAAATGAAGTAAAATCTTCTTCCTTTTTGGCGATTTGATATATTTTATTAATAGCAGTAAAATTTTATGAAATACATTCTCCCACCGGTTAGAGAGTAGGAAAAATAGAACAAAAATGAAGTAAAATCTTCTTCTTTTTTGACGATTTTGATATATTTTTATTAATAGCAGTTAAATTAAGTGGAATACATTCTCCCACATCAGTTAGAGAGTAGGAAAAATAGAACAAAAATGAAGTTAAATCTTCCTCTTTTTTGGCGGTTTGGATATATTTTTATTAATAGCAATGAAGTTAAGTGAAATACGTTCTCCTACATCGGTTAGACAATAGAAAAATAGAACAAATATGAAGTAAAATCTTCTTTTTTGACGATTTTGATATATTTTTATTAATAGCAGTGAAGTTAAGTGAAATATATATTCTCTCACATCTGTTAGAGAGTAGAAAAATAGAACAAAATGAAGTAAAATCTTCTTCTTTTTTGACAGTTCTGATATATTTTTATTAATAGCAGTGAAGTTAAGTGAAATACATTCTCCCACAACAGTTAGAGAGTAGGAAAAATAGAACAAAAATGAATTAAAATCTTCTTCTTTTTGACGGTTTGATATATTTTTATTAATAGCAGTGAAGTTAAGTAAACTACATTCTCCGACATTGGTTAGAGAGTAGGAAAAATAGAACAAAAATGAAGTAAAACCTTCTTCTTCTTTTTTGGCGATTTTGATATATTTTTATTAATAGCAGTGAAGTTAAGTGAAATATATTCTCCTACATTGGTAAGACAGTAGAAAAAATAGAACAAAAATGAATTAAAATATTTTTCTTTTTTGGTGATTTTGATATATTTTTATCGGTAAAGGCTCAAATATACCCCTGTACTATAGATAATATTTTATATATTTTCTTGATTATACTTTGGGCTAAATATACTCCTTGTATTATATTTTGGGCCAAATGTACATCTTATTATACAGAAGGACACTTGTCCTCATACGAATCAAATAACTCACCCCCAAGTTTAAATACCCAATTCCCTTTAGAAACCCACTCATTTAAATACCCAATTTGAACCAAACCCATTTGATGATTCTCTTCTCTAGCTAAAGCTTTCATTAAAATAAATACTCAACTAGGAAAGGTCCAAAATAAATGAGTGGGTTTCTACAGGGAATTGGGTATTTAAAATTGGAGGTGGGTTATTTGATTTCTATGTTGACAAATGTCTTTCTATTAAAATTAGGAGTATATTTGGCCCAAAGTACGACGGGAGGGATATAGTTGACCCCAAAGTATAACCAAGGAAATATATGAACTATTTCCTTTAAAACAAAGGTATATTTGACCCTTTTTCCGTATTTTTATAAATAACAGTGAAGTTAAGTAAAATAAATTCTCCCACATTGGTTAAGAGTAGGAATAATAGTTGTTTAAAACAAAAAGCAAAAGTGGACTGTTCATTGTTGAAAAGTGTGGAGCTGAGAATTGCACACAATAAACTAACACGGAACCTAACTGCTTATGTAATCAAAAGATTAAGATGATAGAAATATAGATTATGACGTCATTAGGTGATGTAATGAATTGTGACACTATAATTATTTTAAGTTTGAATTTTGACAATGCCAAGTCTATTTTCTAATTCGTTCACACGTGAAACACCTTTTATGAGTGTAACGCGGAGGAGATTATTATTATAATAGAATTACTTAAATACACATAAAGTATCCATTACTTTGTCCATTTTTAGTCGTAATAGTTTTCTTTTTTAAAAATTAAATTATAAAAACTTTGTCTAATATTTGATGATGATTTTTTTATCATATAGCTATGAAAAATTTATAATTTATAGTACTTGTTGTATAGTTTTTTAATATTTATATATTTATTTAAATTATCGAATTAATTAATTTAATCTAATTTAACCTTAAATATTAGTCAAATTAACTTTTAAAAAGTGCATGACAACTAAAATGGAGTATAGATGAACTTAATTTTTTCCTTTTGACCAACAAAAAGCTTTCTATAAGTTACTAGGTAGAGATGGCCCGTACAAGTACGGGCCCAACATTAAACAAATTTTTTGAGCTAAATGCATAAAATAAGTTCCTGACTACTTTATTTACATTGAATGTGTATCATTTATGTAGTGATACATTTTTATCGCATATCACCCTGACAAAAAGTATCTGTGAAAAAAGAGAGAAATATATAGGTTCAAAGTTGAATAATAAACATATATAATTAGGAAACCTCAATAATAAAAGAGCACAAAGTAGCCTAATTCAAATGATGAAATCTCAAATATTTAGTAAATGTAGAAGGGTCTTTGTACACAAGTAACACAAGTCCTTTGTACACAATAATACAGATTATAGATCACCTAGCATAGTGCAGCATATGTACAAAATCTTGAAGGAAAATTATTTTCATATCCTACATATCAATGAACACAACAAAATAATAACCTCTGTGTTGCAGCTTTATACATATGGTTTGATAGTGTGGTTTATAGTAAATCAACCAGTATGCTGAACAATATATACCAACCATCCAAACAGTATGAAGACAAAACAAGAGAAGACACCCTTTACTATTACAAGTTGAAATTTACACTCAATAGAGCAAAATATGATGAAACATCATGATGACATGGAAAAACTATATGATAAATAATAAATAAAACTATTTTGGTTAGTGTTATAGAGGAAAACAATTCATACTATCAAAATATACAAAAGCCATAAAGGATCAGTGAAGCTCAACATGACAAAGGATTCACACATGACATATATATTTAAATATATCCCCTGCTTATCCTAGTTATTAAGTCTAGCGAATTTTCTACTTCCTTTTCAATTTATTTGTCTTATTTTCTTTTAGTTTGCTTAAAAAATAATCACTTTTTTCTTTTTAGCAATTCTTATGTCCAACATTCTGTCAGACATGTTAGGTGCATTATACACATCTTTAGTTTGTGACTACAAGATTTAAAAGTTATGTGTCGTGTCAAGTCAAACTAAGACAAACAATTAAAATGGAGACAACAAATTTAAAAAATTCAGAAAGAAATGAGTGAAGAGAAAGTACTATACTGGTACAGACATGTTTATCCCAAAGCAGAAAGACATTTTTGGCTTAAAAGGTTTTGTTCCATGAAAAAAATGAAACATATCTGCATAACTTCAATTTTTACGACACCCAAATCTATACAACAAGATTTACAAAAGTTCAGAGCCTAATTTCTAGACATGTTGGTAAATTATGCTTATATATTGAGAACAATATTCTTACCACAAACAAGAGATCAAACTGATCTCACTGTAAACTTTTCGGTTAACGTAAATTGTGTTCCACTCTCACATTAAGTATAAGTTAGTAGTTGGACTTAAATGTTTTTTTCGTCTCCAGAAAATCAAGTCAAACTTCATATGCAAGTTCAACACTTTCCTCTTCTTCACTTTTTAACCCCAAAGAAGTAGAAATAGAGAAACTTAGACTATTGAAAAATAAAATTACACTAATTGCAGCGAATTTCACTAACATCCGCAAGACCACAACACTAATAACAAATAGTATATTCAAGCAAAGGACAGGAAGTTCCTAAAGTGAGTCATCTTAATCTATTGACAACTTACCATCTATTTCTATCTCACTTATTTTAAAAAATATAAATTCAAATTAAGAAAACTCTATTACTTCATATGCAATTTTCTGAACAAGCTAGTTGTTGAATTGTTGAATGATCATTCCTAGCACACGTTGTCAAAACCAAATATTAAAGAAAAAAATTACTTTTTGAAATCTACTTTATATTTACAAGCTCTCTAATGGAGAGTAATAAAGAATTATCTTCTATCCTATTTCATTTCTCCTCATAACTAAGTATGCATTAGTTCATTGTCTGTCCATTTTACTACTATTAGAAAGTACGTTAGTTTCTGCCACTACTTTTCTTTACTAGTAATATTATTGCATCCCATTTTACACATAAATTGCATTCAACATTTGGCACTTCCCATAATGATCAGTATTCCTCTTTCAAGAATCTGGAAGTTGAGGAAAAGATGATCGGAAGAAAAATAAATGAAACCAACTTTACTGACTTTATAAGAGAGATCTGATAGCTGACAAACAGGGCCAACATAGCTGAAACTATGACTCAGACACAGAAGCTGGAGGTTGAAGTCATATTGACAACAAAATACAAGGCACAACACTAGTCTCGGAGGTTATTGTTTTTAATTTTTTACGGCTTCATGCAATATAGTAAAATAACTTTTCCTTTTTTCCCCATATAATCAGAATTAGTTAAAATGAAACTAAAGATAGTAGCTTCCGAAAGTCGGCTACCACTAAGGAACGAATAGAAATGAGATTTTTCTCCTCTTCGTTTCCTTAAAACGTAGCACCTATATATGTCTTGTCACATTTCGGGATGATAGCTCAATAAAAAGATTGTTTTCAAGCTGCTATGAGCTTTGGGAGTTGGCTCTATTAGATTGTGAGTGGATGAACTTGAAGCAAGTTATAATTTCAATCTCTTTATTAAAGAGGGATATAAATTTTTCTTCACTCAATCTGCTCCCCACCCTCCACCCCCTACCCCTAGAAAAAAAAGAGCAACTTGTAGGAAATTGACGTTTGGATTTGGTTATCCAACCAGGAAAATCATGGGGTTTTTGGGTATGGTAACTTATTACTTAGTTTCTTTTACTAAATGGCTCCACTGATAATCTAAATGGTTGTGAAATCAAGATTGATGCAACAGGTCTTAGTTCATTAACAACAATGGTTATCTCTCCAATAAGATATGTTTGTATAATTTATCCCCTCAGACATAGCATCAATTCATATTCTCACCATATGAGAAGCAAAATCAAGTTGTTCGTATTGTTAAACTCGTTATAAGGCTACACAAGATTAGTGCTGCAATAATATCTAGTAGGGCTATTGAGATAATTACTAACAAGATGGAATTTAGCTACAGAACATGACATTATAGAATGTTAAATGTCTAAATATACAGTACATATATCTTTTTTTCCTATTCTCTGATCCCATTTGTTGCTTGGCAAAGGCATCTCTAAGACGGGAGAAACCCTTGTTACTTATTCAGTGCACAATACATAACAAATTCGATCGGCACTTAAATTAATCAAATCATTCTCTCCAGAGCTCACAAATTGATTCTGACGAAAAATTCATTTAGTTTAAAAGAATTATTATGAAAGAAGACCAAATTATTTATTGCATGTGAGAAAATAAAACGAAAATCTGAATATTCCAAAGTTGATTTCTGATGAAAACATAATAACAAACAAAAACTAAAGGCACAAGGATTGAAACTATTGAAAAGCAGCTGGAAAATTGAGCAACAACAACAAACCCATATGGAATAAGAAGTGGTCACCGAAGGATAAAATTGGGGAACATTTTTAATGTACTTTCAATTTTGAAGAAAACAAAGAAACAATATGAAGAATATTACCTGAAGGCTGGAAGGAATGTTGGAGAAAGGAAAAGTTTTTTGAGATGAAGGTAAAGAGTGATGTGTACATTGAAGATACATAAAGAAGACACATAGCTATATTTGAGAATGAAAAAGACAAAAATACCCTCAAATGTGATGAAACAGGCATGTTGAACTAGCCATTTCTAATATTATATATAAGTTATACTCCTAACATTTGGAGCATATATCTTAAGGAGCGCCTGCACAATCAATAAAAGGTGTGTGAGACTCCGTTTACTTTTTGACATATGAATAAGCGAGTCATTTATGTACTTTAAACCTAAACTAAAATGACAAAAAGTAAAATAATATTTATAATTAATATGCATTTTATCATATACTAGATACGTGAGACCGTGCCAGCGCCGACCTAACATATGTTATTTATTTTATCGTAATTTATGTGACACTTAGAATTTAGAGAGCCGTTCAATTTTTGTAGATACTTTTAAAATAATTAAGTTGTTGTTATAAATTCATTGAATGAGTGGATAGTCCATAAGGTTGGTACATGAACAACCATTCATATTCACTAGGTTACATGAATCTTTTTGGATAAGAATGTATCTATTTATTATGATACTTAATATGGTGACCTTTGGAGTGATTTCTCACTCTATAAATAGGGTTGTTCATTCACTATTGTAATATATACATATGAGACTTGAATACACTTGAATAAAAGAAAGTCTTATCTACCATCTTACTCCTCTTGTCTTCATCTCTTTATATTTATATTGCCATGAGCTTGATTTTATAACACGTTATCAGCACGAGTCTCTATCTAATATAGAGTGAGCACTTGTTTTTTTCTTTAACTCATGTTTTGGTTGATCTCGTTATGAGAATCAAGGTATTATATGCATAAATTAAGGTATGTATTTTCTAGAATATTTTTATGATTTAGAATAAAAATAGTATTCAGTCACTAACAATTATCACGAATCGAAGATATATACTATTATTGATTGAATATGACATGCTATATAAAACTTCTTAAATTGAAGAAGTGTAAAATTTTAATAGCACGAGTTTGAATGTTATTTTGATTATTTTGAAAGACTCAAAGGGTGAGTCATGTTGTACTTCGGTCTATATACCGTTGGTTAAGGGTAAGACGATGGATTCAAGTTTCATCGCACCAAAAGGGTAAGACATCAAGTTTAAGTCCGGATGCACCATAATGAAAAATATTTGAGGATAAGACGATAGATTCAAGTTCTATCGCACCAAAAGGGTAAGACATCAATTTGAGTTTTGATGCACTGTGATTGGGTTCAAGTCCCATAGAATTATGGCGTAACATGCCTTATATGGATAAGACATTGAGTTTGAGTCAATGCACCATAGTGATGATATAATGATGACTAAAACTTTGATGAAAAGTCTTGAAATCCGTCTTATTGAATTTGCTCCTTCCTTGAAAAAAATGTGGTAACAACATATGATAATTTTGGAATCGCATGTTCACTTGCTCTATTCTATCGTATGAATGTTGTAGCAGTAAATAGTTAGTCTGAAAGATGACAAATATTTAACGATATGAAAAGGGGCATGAAATGACGGAATTATAATAGTCATCATTGTGGTAATTATAAAAGGAAGAACACTATGGGTTCTCCAAAAAGTCCTTCAAAATGTGAAGGCAATTTTTACTATAAAATTGTATGAAAGGTCATTGGACTTGTGAATGTTGTCGACCCAATTTGACAACTTTATAAATCCTCCATCAAAAGACAAGTAGATAAAGTGATGATACACTTGATCTTTCAAAGTGATGTTGAGGTGTGTCATGAAAATATGATGAATTTCAAAAATCATGACAATGTACTTATAATGCAAATATATGAAGTACATATGAATGATTAGTCCATTCCTTGAAGAGAATGTGACTTGTAATGAGTATCGTGAATGCTCGACCATTCTATAAAAGAATGGTTCC